GGGCGGAGGATGTCAGGATGTCGTGGCTTCTCGGTTTAAGTCTGCTGTGGCTTGGGCTCCTGTTGGTTCCCTTCTCCCATGAGCTGAACCAGAAGATCAGCAGAGCCAGGAAGCTGTGCGGCAGCCACCTGTTGAAAGAAATAGTAAAACTCTGTGGCAATACTGACTGGAGCCAGTTCCAATTTGAAAAAGAAAACCCTTTGGCACAATTGGTTCCCCAGGCCACTCCGAAAGTTGAAGCCCTTGGCCTCCAGCACTTCAAGACCCTAAATGCCTTTCCCGGTGTTGGGAAGAGTCACAAACTCAGGTAAAAATCTAAACCATGGGCAAGTTTGTTCTTTACATTTCTTCTCAGATTTGCTCTTGTCAGACAGTGAGCTTCTGCAGGATATGGAATTTGTGCCTAGTATATAGATAAATAAAAATAATTAAAAACTAGTATATTGAGACTATACAGAGACCTCCATGAAGCCTTTTTTTAGAGGAAATATGTGTACACATGTAAGTGTGCACATTTTTATAAGAACGCCATTCCTTTCCTAGCTTCCCCGAGTGCTCCTGTCATCTGGCAAACTTTATTTTGTCCTTCAAAGCCCACCTTAGGTATCATTTTCCTTGTGAAGTCATCCTTGATCTTTTCCATTCTTCTTTCTACATAGTATCTAGCATGTGCAGTTTTATTTGACTGTCATCAGGACTGGCTGTGTACTTGCCCCAACCCAACCTAAGGTAAGACAAAACTACAGGGTCCTTGTTCTAAAAGGGAAAAATGTACAAAAAATATACAAGCTTTTATCTTTTCTTGTCCATATCTCTCTGCTCAAGAGCATGATTCATTCTCCCATCAGGCTTCACTTTAAAGTTCATGTAATTGCACTTCACTTCCAAGTTCAAAGATAAAGTTATTGAGAATTCCAAGACTGATACAACAGAACTTTAAAACCAAATGCACACCTGTGCAATTCCACATCTCAATTCTGTAAAGCCACCCATGCGTATCACACTATCTTATGAGGCTATCTCATTCATACTTTTACCTGAAATGCCTACCAAAAGGAAGACCACATTATATATGCTTAATATACATTGAATTTATACTGAAGGCTTTCATTTAATCTTTAGAAAGAATTTTCTTTTTCAGATCAGTTCTTCCAATTTCACTTTTTGTGACTAACACATTTTAGTCCCAATGTTGTTTACTATTTTTATAAAAAATGCATTTGTTCATATTCTATCCATAGCATAATGTCATTACAATTGTTACCTTTTAAAGTAGTTCACTTACTTCAATTTGGATAAATCTTACTAAATTAGGAACTGAGTAGGCTGTCATGCCAAAAATAGATGCTTATGTAGATTACTGAAATAATGCCTAGTATGTTGTAAGTACTCATTAACTTAGTTTTTGATGAATGGAACTAACTAAATGTTACTAAGGTAATGAAAACTTAAGAGACAGAAACCATCAGTCTAAATCTTGATTTTTTTTTTTTGATACAGGGTCTTATAGTTCAGGCTGGCTGAACTCACTCCTTTTCCCCAATAAAGCCTACTCTGAAAAACATTTTTCTTAATAAAAAATGTTCAACTTTTCAACTCAGAGCTGACTAAGCACCTCATTGTTTTGGCTGCTATTTACACTGTCCTGGAGGAATAAATGTCATTAGTTCAGTAAGAGAGAATCTGCAATGAAATACAATTTGTAGGAAATAAAAATATATCTAATATTTCATAATTAGTATTCTCTGTTACTATGGGAACTACGTAAAGTATAATTTGAAGTAGAAATATCATATGCCACAGTTTTGAAATGTGTGAAAGTGCTGGATGTGGTGGTGGACGCCTGTAATCCCAGCACTCAAGAGGCTGAGGCAAGAGAATCGCACTCAGTTTGAGGCCAGCCTGGGCTACATAGTGAGTTCAAGGCCAGCCTGAACTACATAGGGAGACCCTGTCTCAAAAACACTAAAAAAAAAAAAAAAAAAAAAGTGAAAGAAAGAAAAATGGGTTTGAGTTATAAATATAAATTTGTAGTTACATGTTTAGTTCTAGAAAATTTGTGCAATATGTTCATAACGATGGCTGTGGTTGCCACAGAGTGCCTCGCTTACCTTTAAATACTATTAATGTGTCGTGCATGCAGATGGAAGGGGTGGGACTGTGCACTCAAGTTGGGGCTTTAACTGTAGTATTTGGCAGAGTTGCCTTCTACCTGCCAATTGAAGAAAAGTTCAACCTGTTTTCATATAGAATATATATACTAAAAAGTTTCAGTCTGTTAAACAGCCTTACTCTGATCCAGCCTCTTCAGATAATCTTGTGCAGCAGTGGCTCTGTGTGTAAATGCTATGCACTGAGGATACACACACACACACACACACACACACACACACACACAAAACGATGTGTACAGGATAATGCCTCATACCAATCAGATGTCCATTTGTTACTGTGTTTGTTAACAACCCTTTATCTCTTAGTGTTATAAACTCCACTTAAAACTGATTAAAAGTCTCATTCTTGTCAAAAAAAATTTGAATTTGTGTTAAAATTTTAAAAATTATTAATCTATAAGGGAAGATGACATTTATTCTGTCCTGTTAATTTCCAGTGAATAATGTAGAAGTTGCAGAGAAGTGTTTCCAATACAGAATGTATAATTATGCCAATTATTTTACATATGATGTTGCTGAAACAATTTTTATTTAGCTTTTGCCAGCAGGACATTATTATGTTAAATCCAGTCAGTTTATTCACTGGTTTAATTCTCTATTATTCTATTTGAATCTGACACAGAGAAAGTTTCATACACTGACACTTAAAAAATGCTTTTTTTCAGAGTTGCTCATATATATCTAGAATCTGAAATTGTTGTGCTTCTTTTTAGTGCATCCTGAAGGTGGAGGCCATGTCTCCAAGTCCTACCCCAGAATGTGGGACCATGAAGCAGACATCATATTTCTAAATTGTGCCTAAGTATTTGCTCCCCAAATCTTGGTATCTTGTGAAATAATTTAATGTTTCAACATCACATTTTCATAATCTAAAACCCCTTTTGCAGTTAGATTGATCATATTCTCCTTTTTTAGGTTTCACTCACCTATTCTTGGCTTTTTGTTTGCTCATTTTTAGATATCATCACAAATGCCCCATGCAGTGCCCCTATATTTATATATTAATTAGACAAAATTTGAGTACCTGTTACGTGCTAGGCATTCTTCTTGGTGACTGGGTTACAAGAGTTAACAACGAAGACACCTGCCCTGATGAAGTTTACAGAATAGTGAAGACAGAAAATATAAGTAAATTATATAGCACATTAGACCATGATTGCCCCATGTAGTCCCCTTTTTCCACTCCTGTTCTTTTTCTCTCATAGGCAGTCATTCCAATGTGTTTATTATTATTTTTGTATTTATATGTTTTTACAAATTATGCCTTGCTTCTTGTGCATGAGTTTTTAAAAATATAAATATATTTAAGATTTGTATCTTATTGTTGTCATGTGAAGATTCCTCCTAATTGTTTCATAATACTCATGTGCATTCCCTAAATTTTGCTCATTCTTTCAATGATAAACCATCTATATAGCCTTCAACTCCTTGCACTATAAATAATGCTACAGTGAACATCATTGTATATTTCCCCTTACAGGCCTGTGTTAGTTACTTTTCTCTCATTGCTGAGACAAAATACCTGACACCCAAAGTTAAAAGGGAAGGAGTTCATTTGGCTTACAGTTCGTAGAGGTTTCAGTTCATAATCAGCTAGCTTCAAGGCTGGGATGGCAAATAAGCATCTCAAAGGAGAAACAAAATGGTGTGCACAAGGTAGCAGAGGTAGCAAAAGAATTTTAACAGTGTCTCCCTGCCCCTTTTATCTTATTCAGACTACTTAGGGTGAGTAGCACTCACACCCTTAATCCTAATGCCCTTGAGCCTAGCATTGCATCATGAATGCCGGTTTCACACACTCTAGATCAAGCCTATGACCATGTGAGGCTTTGGGGGGACATCTAGACCCAAACCATGACAAGACCTGTGTGAAAATTTTGCTGGAACATACAAATATATCCGAAGTGGAATCCCTGTGTTGTAAAATATGCATATGCTTAAATTGTGTGAGGTGTGTCAGGTTATTCTTGAGAATAGCTAGATCAGTCTGTACTTGTACCACAAATCCTATGTACTCATACTCAATGCTGGCAGCTCACATTGTAGTTTTTAACTTTTGCCAGTATAAAAAGCATGAAATGACATCTCATTTTTGTCTTAACTAGCTCTGGGCTTGAGCATTGATTCACCTGCAGGTTAGTCTTTTGGCTTTTTTCTTTCTGAAAATGTCTTGTTTATATATGTGCCCTTTTTGTTGAAATTATAGTAATTTTACATGTTATTTGTAAAAGTTATTCAAATTTAGTTCTATTTGTGTGTGTGTTATTTATTACCTAATTTTAAGACTTCCTCTAAAGCTACAGTAATCAAGGCAGTGTTGGCATAAGGAAAGATATATAGATCAATGGAATAAAACAGAGAATCTAGAAATAGAACCATGCACATATGGTCCACTGAGTTTTGAAAGATTATTTAACATTAACATTTTATAGAACATAAAATCAACTCAAGAGCAGAGGAAAAGATACTGTTTTCAGCAAAGAACACCTGTTATCTGTGTGTAAAAAATTAACCTCAACCCTTTATTTCCATACATAAAAATAACTTGAAAAGATCTATGAACGTAAAAATGAAAGACTAAAAGTATAAAACTTTAAGAATAAATTATAAGGGAAAATGTTCATGAATTTAGGGTAGGCAAGAATTTCCTAGGATACAAAAAACATGATGTATAAAAGACAGAAATTGATAAATGAGATTCCATCAGGATTTAGAACTTTAAATGACATTGTTAAGAAAATGAAAAGTAGTCCTTAACCAGAACATATTTATAATACATATAACCTATGACCAGATTATATAAGGAACTCTTACAGCTCATTAATAGACAACCCAATTAAAAAGTAGACACAAGAAGATGATAAATAGCCAGTACAGCACAAGGAAAGGTGTGCAACACTAAAATCTGAAAACTACTAATCAGTACAATAACAAGATCACATTATACACTCATTAGGGAAGTGAAGTTAAAAGTTTTAAAAGAAATGTCAAGGGGCCGTGGATTTAGCTCAGTGGTTTCGCCACTTGCTGTGCAAGCGCAAAGATCTGAATTTGATCCCAGGTACCAAAAAAAACACAAACAAACAAAAAAACCAAAAATGACAAAAAATGTCAGCTTAGGTGTGAACCAGTTAGAACTTTCTAATACTGCTAATGTGAATGTAAAATAATAAAACCATTTTGGAAAACAATGTAGAAATTTCTTGTATTACTGTTAAGAACCAACAGCTCTATTCTTAAGTTTTTACTTAAGAGAAATGAAAACACATGTTCACAATAGATTTGTACATACAAGTTGACTGTCCTTTATCTGAAATTCTTGGGACCAGAAGTGTTTTAGATTTTGGTTTGAAATCCACTTGATCTGCAAAGAGGATAGCTACTCCTGCTTTTTTTTGTTACGACTTTTTCTTTTTGTTGGATTCTCCCCCTTTGTGTTTAATTTCTTGTCGCACCAGACGGATTCATTCTGCTGGGCTTTCTGGGGTTCTGATCCTCGTCTTTTCCTAGCATATTGTCTAAAGTGTTTTGGAGTGCTGGTTTGGTATTCATGAAGTTCCTAAGGTGTTCTTTGTCATGAAAGTGTCTTATTTCTCCATCAATTTTGAAAGATAGTTTTGCAGGGTACATCAATCTGGGTTGGAGGCTGTTTTCTTTTAGGGCTTGAAATGCATCACTCCAAGCTCTTCTTGCCTTGAAGGTTTGCATTGAGAAGTCTGCTGTGATTCTGAAGGGATTTCCTTTGTATGTGATTTGTTTCTTTTTTCTCATTGCTTGTAGAATTTTGTTCTTCTGTTGGGTTTATGGAATTTTAACTATTATATACTTATGTGTAGATTTTTTTTGATCAAGGCTAGGTAGAGTCCTATATGCCTCACTTTTCTGTACGTCAAGTTCTTTCCCCTTGTTTGGGAAGTTTTCTGCCACCACTTCTGTGAACAGTTTTTTTATGTTGTCTGCACTCTCTCCTGTTTCTTCATTGACTCTGATTAGTCTTATGTTATTCTTCTTTGCATCGTCTAGCAGCTGCTGGATTGATTTCTTGTGGTCCCTTACAATATTAAAGAAATTTTTCTTTTCCTGGTCACTAAATGCAATCTTATCAACTATATCTGAAATTCTGTCCTCACACTGATTCATTCTGCTGCATAAGCTTTCAGTGGAGTTTTTAACCTCCTGGAAATCTGTTTGTATCTGTTTTAGGGATTCCGTTTGTTTCCTATGTTGGGATTCCATCATATTCCTCAGCTCCTCTATTTTTTTATCTGTATCCTCTCTAGATTTATTAATCATGTCTTGCACTATGGGTACAATCTTGGCTGTTATCTGAGAAATTATTTCTGATTTCATTTTTTCCAGATCCTCTTTTGTTGCCAGTTCAGGGAGTCCAGGTAGTTGAGTATCAGAGTGTTCTGTCTCATTTCCCTTTGGGGTTGCTTTAGGTGATCTGGAAGTCTGGTTTTGTGACTTGTTTATGTGTCTTCTCATTTTGATGGGGTGTGGGTGGGGGTGCTGCTGGCGCACGCTTGGCTCACCTCTTCTGTGCTGGGAGCAGGGGTAGGTTGGCCCTGAAGCCTTCTACTTTGCACTGGGAGCTGTGGCATGATGACCCAGGAGCCTCCTCTGTGCTGGGAACTGTAGTAGGTCAGCCTGGAAGCCTCCTCTGTGCTGGGAGCAGGGGTAGGTTGGCCCGGAACCCTCCTACTCTGCACTGGGGGATGTGGCACTGTTATTCAAATTTAGATACAACAGTAATCAGTTGTTGTGTTTAGATATCACAAATATGTTCTCTCATTGTGTCATCTGGGTATTAGTGGTGTTTGGCTGAAAGCTTAAACTTTGTATATAATCAAGCATTAGTGTTTTTCTTTATTTTTTTCTACTTTTTAAATGCATTGAACAATTAGGGGTCCTTTTCTTTTCCTCTGTTAACTTTACAGTTTTACTTTTCACATTATGTCCTTAATTTTTCACAGGTCCTTTTTGGTTCTGATTTCAGTAGGAATATTATCTTATTTTAGTTTTTTCAGTAAGTTTTATTTTTCTCTAATTAGGCGGCTAGTTTTCTAAGTACCTTCTAATCAACATTTTTCCATTTTTCCATTGATTTATACAGTCACCTTCATTGTTTATTGAGCTTCCTATTCTGTTTATTTGGTTTATTTGTTTGACTTTGTACAATTACATTATTTTCCATACTATGATTCTGTAGCATATCATTTTTCTGGGATAGAAAATCTCCAACGAAGGGGCTGGATTTAGCTCAGTGTCACCATGCTTTCCTGGTAAACAGAAGGTTCTGAGTTCAATTCCTGGTACCAAAAAACAAAAAAACAAAACAAAACAAAAAGTCTCCAATGTTTTTCTCCCTTAAGATCAACTAAGTTCATCTGCAATCTTCATTCTTCCACATATAAGAGTATTCTTATTGAATGTTTTTCTTTAATCCACTTGGAATTTTATTTATTTTGTTTGTTTGTACCAGGGATTGAACTTGGGACCTTGCCCTTGTGAGGCAGGCAGCAGAACCACTGAGATAAATCCCTGCCCCCACTTGGAATTTTAATTGGGATACATGGAATACATAATTTGAAGAAAATTGACATCTTTATAACATAATGTCATCCCAGTCAAAATCATAAAGTGGTTTTGGGCTGGGGATTTAGCTTAGTGGTTCCAGCACCTACCTCACAAGTGCAAGGTCCTGAGTTCGATCCCCAGTACCAAAAAAAAAATCATAAAGTGGTTTTATATACTATTAGGATTTTAAAGTCGCCTATGGAGACTTTCTGCATTGTTAGCTAAATAATTGGCTAATACTTTGTTTTGATGCTATTAAAAATAGTTGTGAATTACATTTTTAGTTAGTGATTATTGGATAGAGAAATGCAACTGATTTGTGTAAGCTGATTTTGATCCAGAAACCATACTGAACTATTTTCATAGTTTTAATAATTTGTTGATTCTATGGGTTTTTCTTGTCACTTGCCAGTGATACTTTTATCATTTTCTTTGTAAACCTCGGACTATACTTTAAAAAATAATAGAATTGGCCAAGTCCTCTAGTCATTTTTAAGTAGTAATGATGAGGGGATATTTTGTCTTGTTGCCAGTCTTAAAGGCGTGCATTTAAATTTAATAATGTTGGTAAGTTAATGCCATATAATCTTTACCAAGATAAGGAAGCTTGCTAACAGATATTTTTATCATTATAAGTAGGACTGGACTTTATGGCATCCATTAGGATAGGTACAATAAAAAATGGAAAATATCAAGTGTTTGTGAGGGAGTGGAGAAACTGAAACCTTAGTTTTATCAGTACTAGGATTATAAAATGGTGTGGCTGGTGTGGAAAAGCTTTGCACTTACTCAAAAATTTAAACAAAATTACCATGCAATCCAGAAGTTCTTCTCCTAGGTATATGCCCAAAGGACTGAAAACATATTCACATAAGAACTTGTACATGAATGTTCATAACAGGGCTATGAGTAATAGCCAAAAATTGGAGGCTACTGAAATGTGCATAATTTGATAAATGTATAAACAAAATGTAATGTGGAATAACCAACAATAGAAAATTATTCTTCATAAAATGAAGAAATTACATATGCTACAACATAGATGAACATGGAAAACATTATGCTAAATGAAAGAAAGCAAACATAAAAGGCCACATATGATATGCTTCCATTTATATGATATACACAGAAGAGACATATCCACAGAAACAAAAAAATAAAAATAGTGGTTGCCAGGAGCTAAAGGAAAAGGGGAGTGATTGCTGACAGTGACTGCTATGTTTTTTGCGGGGTGATAGGAATGTTCTGGATTTAAATAGTGCTGATGATTGTATAACATAGTGAATATATTCAAAATCACTGATTTGTATACTATAAAATGCTGAATTTTATGGCACATGAATGATCTCAATAAAAATGTTATTATGAAAAGTTCAAAGGTTTTCTTAAGCTTTTAAATAGGAAAACACTATGATTATTTTAGTTATATATATATACATATATATTGCTTTTGAATGAGCATACTTTCTATTTTTTAAAATGTGATTACTTGTTTTTAATATTTAGGTGGTTTTAGTAGTACAGTATTAAATTTCCATCTAATGGAAGATTTTAATAAAGTAGAATTTTTTTTTTATCTCTCAGTAGCCTCTACTTCTGCCTCTCAGGAAGAAGCAATACACAGTTGAAAGATTCAGTCATTGCCTGAGTATCAGTATAAAAAGACCAACTTGCTCCTTGATAAGACAAGAAAATTTTCTTCATCACATGATGTCGATCCATACATTCATGAAAGTGTTAAATTTCAGAAGAAAAGTAGAAACAAAATGCCTTAAGCAGTATATTTTGGGGGAATCATCCTCAAAGGAAACGCAGAGAATACTCAGATAAATGTTGTCTTAGGGGATGTACAAAAGAAGAACTTGCCATCGCATGTTTTCCATATATTGATTTTTAAAACAATGACAAAAAGGTCTATCACTTGTGCCTCAGATATATTAATCATCATAAGAACTATACAAACTTAATAAAAGCTCACTATATCTAACTTTCTATTTATTTTTGGTAATTGTGCTTGTAGGTGCTATGAGGTGAACTATACCTGAATGTACTTGCAAGCACTTGACAATATGGTGCTATTAGGAATCTTTGTATGGTATTTTCTTCAGTTATTCCTTACTTTTCATGTTTTTTAAGATGTTATTGGAGGTAGCATGATCCGTGTAGACATCAAAGAAATACCTCTTTGGGTTTTTTTGTGTTTTTTGGTACTGGGGATCGAACTCAGGACCTTGCACTTGTGAGGCAGGCGCTGGAACCACTGAGCTAAATCCCTGGCCCTGTTTCTTGACATTATGGTTGAAAACTCTCTTAACCTGAATTTAAATGGATTATGGAATTTATGCATTTTATATGACATACAGATGATATCCCTAATTATTAGACTTTTGTCAGTAAGCCAATGCCTCTGTCCCACCAACTTAAGAGTAGCTAACCAACTATGCTCCTAGTAGGAGCTCTTGTACTATAATAGCAGGTAGTTTCATTATAGAAGTTATGCAGATTCTCTTCACAATTGCTGAGGACTTAAAGATAGTGAGTGTCAAGGTGGTAAAATTTCTCCAAGATATCCCTTCTGCTCTGAAGATGTTGATATTATGTGTACCAATACCTAAATTTCAATATTACTCAGAAGCTTTAGCAGAATTTCTTAAAGCATGGTCCCTGACTAAATCAGAAGTATCAGCATCACCTAGAAATTTGTTGGAAACTCAAATCTAAGGTCCCACCACAGACTTACTGAATCACAAACTAAGAAGGGTATGGGAACCAGCAACTTACATTTTTAACAGACCTTCTGGATTATAGCTACTATATAAATATTGTTAAAGTTATGCAGTTTGTGTGTTTGTATACCTCAATACAGATGTTATAAAACTACATAGCACCAAATTATTGTATGTTTTCATTTTCTGTTCATATGTGAAATAATCTCAATGCTACAAAGTACAGCAATACTTAATCTAAAGAATCTAAAGTGGAGTTCTAACTTTCCACCATTAATTAGTGAGTAAGCATCATTTGAAACCATCTCTAATTTCTTTTCCAAGTATTTACCATAGTGTTTTTCAACTAAAATTTTTACTCCTATTTGACTGTTATTTCTTAAAACAAAAGTTCTTTTCCACATATATCTTCATCATGTAACCAGTGCATTAACAAATGTTGCAAATTTTTTGCCAGATTCAAAATATAATCTACATTCAGTTACATTTGTAAATATACAGAGCCACCCATTTAGACACCAAATGAAAGAGTGTACTGTGGTTGAGTGGTAGAATAGGTGTAATAAATTGAGTGGTAAAATAGGTTTTATATGAAAATGCACCATTAATTGAGTAATGCTTATGCTTGGGCTAAAATACAGTATTGTACATGTGCCAGTTTGAAAATATATAGATGTGTACGTGTGTCGCAGTTAGAAGAAAATGCACAATTAATGGAGAAATGCTTATGCTTTGGCTAATATACAGTAATGCACATGCATCAGTTTGAAAATGTGTAGGTCTGTACTTACAGTTTAAGAATTAAAATCCAGTCTAGTAGTGTGCTACTGTATGCCCATCAAAGTTCAAATTATAAAACCATGAGATTTCCCAATGCATATACATTGCTACACACTTTAATAATTTCTCATTGGATCATAGGAGTGTTATATTCATCAGTGAATTAATCCATTGATGCATTTATAGCTGAATTTGCTGTTAGGAGGTGGGGCCAAGTGGAAGAGGTTAGTCACTGGGGGCATGCCTTTAGAGGGTATATTTTTCTCTCTGGCTTTTCCTGCTTTCTCTGCTTCTTGGCTTCCATGAGTTGAGCAGCTTTCTTCAGCCAGGCCCTTCTGGCATGCCATTTCTGCCTTGGGACCAAATGACCATGGACTAAACCCTGAAACTAAGCAAAAAAATCCCCAAAAAACCCTCTCCTCCTTAAATTGTGTATGTCAAGTATTTTGTCCAGCAACAGGAAAGTTGATAAGTACAGGCTTTTTTTTTTTTTTTTGTACTGGGGATCGAACTCAGGACCTTTCACTTGTGAGGCAGGTGGCAGCACCACTGAGCTAAATCCCCCAGCCCAGTACGGGCTTCTTAAAGCAATCAATGAAGGATGATTGAAAGTTGAGATAACTTTATGTGACAGTTAATCTTGATTGTCAGCTTGATTGGCTTGAGAGATGGCTAGACTAGGAAAGTACCCTTCTGGGTGTGTCTGAGTAGATCATGAAGGCATAACCTTGGAGACTATATCTAGTTCCTGGCCCCTTCTTCTCTGGCTCTTTCCCTGTATCTCTGCTTCATAGATGCCATGATTGATCTTCTTTTGCCATGCATGTACCTTCAAGCCAGATAATCACAAACTGAATCCTCTGAAACCATAAGTAAAATTAAACCTCTCCTCCTTTAAGTTATGGGATTCAGATATTTTGTTCCAGCAATGGAAAAGCTAATACAGAAAATTGGTACCTTACCATGTAGTTCAGAAGCCTTTAGAACTGTTTTGTGGGAAAAATTTGGAAAGGTTTGGACACGAAAGTGAGAATGCTGTAGACATAAGATTGATAGGTGATTCTAGTGGGAGCTCAGAAGTCCAGAATTCTGATAGGAGTGCTCACAGTAAAGACTGCTCATGAGGTTTCAGGTGAGAATGAGGACTCTTTTGGGAATTGGACAGGAGACCATGCATATTATATTCTGGCAAATAATTTTTCTATATTTTATCTATGCTTAATTGATTTTTCAGAGTGAATTTCAAGGTAGCCCAGTGTTTAGGCTGTGACATGAGTACTTCTTGCTGCTTTTAGCCAGATTTATGGTAATAATCAAGAGTAGAGGGCCGGGGATTTAGCTCAGTGGTTCTGCCTCTTGTCTTGCAAGCAAAAGGTCCCGAGTTTGATCCCTGGTACGAAATAGCCAAAAAGTACATGAAAAATATTCAGCATCTTTAACCATTACAGAAATAGAAATGAGGGCCGGGGATTTAGCTCAGTGGTTCTGCCTCTTGTCTTGCAAGCAAAAGGTCCCGAGTTTGATCCCTGGTACGAAAAAAAAAAAAAAAGTAGAAAATTTGGAAAAACTTTCAGTTTGGCTTGGAAAGAAATACTTTGTAAAGCTGAGGCCGAGGAAGGTGTGATTTCCAAAGAGATCAGTGGTCTTTAAAAGAAGACAAGTACTTTGCACTGAACAAGAAAGATCCCATCAGGGCATCTCAGAAATCAAGATCCCACATTCAGATATGCAAAAGTGTAAACCCTTCATTTGAGAAGAGACTCTCTGGACCTCCTTCTTGAGGATTGCCTAGGGCAGTGATGGTGAGCCTTTTAGAGGCCAAGTGCCAAACTGCAACCCCAAACCCACTTATCACAAAGTGTCAACATTGCAATTAAACCTGAATATTGAGGTTTGAGTTTAGAAAAAACAAAGTACATTAATATCTTTTGTCTTAAAAGAAAAACACAATAACATGCATGCCACAGGTTCACCAGCACTGGCCTAGGGAATCAGTTCCTCAGGACTGATTTCACTGGATTCAGCCATCCAGGCATTCATAGGCAGCTGCAACCATGGTCCAAGTGGGCCTAGCTACTGGTTAAGCTGGCAGCAGACTTTGGTGTCATCCATGAGATGTTGTTTGCAAGTATACAGAATATGAGAGCTGTGGGATTATGGAAGCTTCTACCTGGATTTCAAGTGAAGCCCTAAGAGTCCAGGCAATGTGGGACAGGATCAGAGTCTCTGCCAGGCACCCCAATAGGGCAATACATGAAGCTGTGAGAATGAAGGTGAAGGTGCAGTGGAGAACTCAGGGAGTTGGAGATCCTAGGAACATAAATGTCTTCCCAGGAAAGCCACCCTTACCAAGTTGGAGCTAACTCAAGAGAGAGACCCCATGGACTACAACTAACAAGCCATAAGGGTGGGGCTTCCCAAGCTTCTGGAACTCACATCTTCACGGAGTACCCTAGATACTGGACACAGAGATATAAGACAATGTTTTGGGGGTGGGGGGGTTGTTTTGATTTGGTTTGGTTTGGTTTTTTGAGACAGGGTCTTGCTATGTAGTTTAGGCTGGCCTTGAACTCACTATGTAGCCCAGGCTGGCCTCAAACTCACAGTGATCCTCCTGCCTCAGCCTCCTCCTGGGTGCTGGGATTACAGGCATGTGCCACCATGCTCAGCTTGTAAATCCAAATATTCTAGTAGCTTTTAAAAAATAAATTGCATAAGATTTCTACATAAACAGCATAAACAGTCATGTCATCTGTGAGAACATTTTTTTCCCCTCTCTAACAGGGTATCATCATCTCTTGACTCACTGCATTGTGTCAATATAACACTGACTCAGGAGTGGCCATTTCTGCTGATCCTAGAGGAAAGCTTTTTTTTTCACACTACTAAGTATGATGTTAAGGCATACTTTTAAGATTTTTGTAGATACACTTCATATGGTTGAAAAAGTTTCCTTATATTTTCCCTGTTTGCTGAGAGTTTTTATCATGAATAGGTGTTAAATTTTGTCCAATGCTTTTTCTGCATATATTGAGATGACAATTTGGGCATTCTCTTTTATTCTGTTAATATAGTGAATCTGGCTGTGTTTGGTAATCATTACAGGGTTTTGTGACAGTGTTGATACAGATATTGGCTTATAGTTTTGTGTCTTTCTGATGTCAAGAGTAATGGTAGCCTCATAAAGTGAGTTAGGAAATATTATCTTCCTTATTTTCATAAATAATGTTTAGGGCTATATGACTTATTCCTTAATAATTTAATATAATCCACTAATGCACTAATGAAGTTTTAATTAAAAATTCAACTTTATAAAGATATACTTCTATTTAATATTCTATGTGAGTCTACTTTTTTAGGAGACTTTTTTTTTTGGTACCAGGAATCGAACTCGGGACCTTGTGCTTGCCAGGCAGGAGCCAGAACCACTGAGCTAAATCCCCACCCCCCATGTGAGTCTATTTTGACACTTTACTTCTG